GAGAAAAAAAAAAAGAGAAAAAAAAAAGAAGTACACAAAAACACACAAACAAACAAAAAAAGAAAACAAAAAGAAAACAGGGCAAGAGATGCGCATGCATGCAGAAAGGGAAAAGAAGGGGAGTTGGGCGATGATTTTCTCTCTCTTTTTTTTTTTTTGTTTGTTTGAGTTGCCACGCAAGAAGAAGCGGGGGGAAAAAAAAGAGGAAATAGAATAAAGATAGAGAATTGTGCGTGCAGGAGGCAATGAGAACGAGAAGGACAGAGGGGAGAAGTGTGTGCGTACACCATACAAGCAGCAATTTTCTGAAAGGCCATTCAACGAAGGAAGTAAAGCGGGTGTAATATACATATATACATGTGCATACATACCACACACATCAAGGAAGAATATGACTGGACGTCTCTTCAACATGTGATGTTTTTTTTTTTTTTTCTTTTGAAGAATTTGTTGGATTTCTGGGCTTTTATTGGCTTTGATCCTCTTTTTTCTTTTTTTTTTTTTCTCTCTTTCTCTCTGTGTGGCGCTGGGCAACAATGGGCGGGTTGAAGTTATTGTCATGGGTGCGTGTATGCCATTTGCTTTATTTGTTCGTGCTTGCTTGCTTGCTTCCCTGTGTGTGTGTGTGTGTTCGGTGGCTCCCGCTCTCTTTTTGGCTTCCCTGTCATCTGGTGGCGGTGCATTCACGTGTATTTGCGACGCTTGCCGCTAAAGTGATGGGTGCGGGTCTCTCCTGCCCCTCTCTCTTGCCCCCCCCCCCCCTTTTTTTTTCTTTTTCTTTTTTTAATGTGGCATTTCTTGTGAGGATTATTTTCCCTGTTTTTTTTTTTTGTTTTCCCTTTTTATTTGTCTGTGTGTGTGTGTGTATGTGGTTTTTTTTCTTTGCGTTTCTTTTCTCGTTATCATTACCGTCAGTGTTTGTCTGGCTATATATATATATATATATGTGTGTGTGTGTGTGCATGCATTTTCGTTATACGCCCCCTTTCTCCTTCAATTTTTTTTTTTTTTTTTTTGGCCGTGGCTTACTGTATTTCTGCGTGTGTGTGGTTTTTTTTTTCTTTTTTCTTCTTGTGGGCTGGAAGAGAGTTGAGTAAGCAGGAGATTGCTGCTAGGTTTTGTTTCATTTTGTGTTTTTGTGTAATTGTAAGTCTGAGGAGTATCCGTGTGCGTATTTGTGTGTTATGAGCGACGACAACAACAGCAACAGAAGTGCTCGCGGTGATGAGCAGCCTGGAGGGCAGGCGGACAACAGCAGGCGGCCCAAGTCTGGCGCAGTGAGCATGGACGCCATTACATCCCTCACTGTGCGTGAGCAGGTGGATGCATTGGCGCAGGCACTTCTGCGAGAGTTTATGCACCGCCGCGGTTACACAAAAACACTGCAGAAATTTGATTGTGAGTGCCCACGCGATGAACGGACGATTGCCTCACGACAATTGATGCGGCAGCTGCTGGAGATTCCCTCGCATGCATTTCCCTCACGATTGAGCGGGGAGGGCGGCACACACAATACGGCCGTGATCATCGCCTCAGGTGAAAGGGAGGCAAATAACGAAGAGAAGAAGAGCAAGAAGAAAAAAAAGAAGCCGGCACCAACGTACATGGAAGAGTTATGCTCCTACCGTCTACAGAAGCGGGAGGTGAAGCAACGGCGGCAACACGAAGAGGAGAAAAAGAAAGAAACAGGGGAAGGCACGGAGACAACGACTATAATAGACCCCAGTGATGCAGAGATGGAGGAGTGGCGGGCGGCGGCGGTAGAAAAGGAGCGCCGCATTGCGGAGGCACGCGAGCGTCATGAGCAACTGCTTCGCGAGCGACGTGAGCGAAAGCAGCGAAAAAGGGAGAAGCGAAAAAAGAAGCAGGAAAAGAAGGAAAAGAAACAAAAGGAAGGTGAGGGAAGTCGTCATCACACCCATGAGGAGGATGAGGGTGACGGTGGCGATGCGACGGTAAATTTTCATAATTCCGTGCCACACCGTTATGGGAAGCGCCGCTCACACCTGGATGATGTCAGCGACAGCGACGACGAAGTACTGCTGCGTCCCATGAGTGGAAAGGCTGTCGCAGTCCCGCACAAGAGCCATAGAAACGGTAGTGGGGACAGTGTTGATGAAGGCGTTGAAGGTGCTGGCGCACGCGGCGGTCTTGCGGAGCCGGAGTTTCTCCTTGGCCGGATGGAGAAGCGGAGGGAGCAGCGTCCAACAGGGCATACGGTTGGCTCCCACTGGATACCGTGCGGCGGCAACGTGACGGAATTGCTGGGGCCGGGCCGCGCTGCACTATTTGGCCCCGATACTCCCATGCCGTCACCGTCCGTGACGGATTCCCTCAGCCCTAGTGTGAACTCCGAGAGACCGCCCGCTTTCCTCCTGGGCGAAGGGATGTCGTTCATGTCGGAGCGGATGCAGGCGGCAAAGCGACTGAGCGCATTGGAGGACTGCCGTCTGCCGCTGTCATCGCCGCCACCGCCAGCACCGTCCACGTCGCCGTTGAGGAAACCCGCATCCACAATTTGGGGGAGCCGCACTATGCGGGGGGGTGCCGGTTTCACCTCGTCTCCGGCGTCGAATGTGTGGTCGAGGTCCTCGTCGCGTGAGGGCAGCCCCGGGTCGGCCATGCCTATTTTCCACTACACCACGGCAGGGCAGCACATGATGAGCCTCAGTTCCAGTGGCCGCGCGCACAGCCCTCCGCTTTCGTTGGATGGCTCGGTGTCCGTCACGTTGCCACCGCCACCGCCAACGAGTAGCATTTTGAAGACATCGTCGTTGTATTCGTCGGGGAATCGCGGGTTTGATGGGAAGGCCCAACCCGCAAGCAGCGCCATGCGGAAAGACGACACGAACACCACCGATAAGAATGGTGACGGAGCAAGTGGGGAGAAAAAAGACAGTGAACGCGATCAATCGTCAGGACGTAAGAACCGCAAGGTAACCATCCTAGTGGATTGAGCAGGTGAGAGACGCCATCACTTCTCCCCTGCCTTCACTTTGTCCCTCTTTTTTTTTTTTTTTTTTTTTTTCGCCTTCTCCTTCCAGCAGTTGTCCACCTCATCTTCTCCGTGCAGTGACATCACGACCACTGCTTCAGCGAGCAGCAACTACATTAAGGCAGATGTCGGGAAACAATGCATGAACTACACGTACGCACTTGTATATGTATGTATATATGTATACAAAGGTGAATAAGTGACTCCATTCAGCGGGGGAGGGGAGGGGAAAGGAGGTAAAGAAATTAATACGACTGACGAGATGAAAAGAACAAACAAAACAAACAAACAATGAAAAGGAATAAAGAAAAATGGCATTCTCCTGCGTCACATCTATACTTACGTGCATGAGGGCGATGAAGGGAGAGGAGTGGTCAACAACAATGAAGTGTGTGTCTCTGTAGGAAGTGCCGGAGATGTGTGTGGAGGGGGAAGAAGGTGGGCTTTTTTTCTTTCTTTTGTCTTCTTTACTTTTTGTGTCAACATGCAGTCATTTGTTGCCGGTTTGTTCTTTCCTTTCTCCTTCTTTATGCTGATCTTACTCCGCCAAATACAGGGTGCATATATATGTATATACATATGCAGACATCTTGTAATTATTAGTTTTACTCCTCTTTTTTTTTCAGCTGTAAGATTGTGCGAAGGGATGTGCGACCCCCAATGGAGCCAAGTGGGTGTTGGTGTGGCTTGTTTAGCCGCCCTGCTTCCTTTTATTATTGACTTTTATTTCCCATCGATACCACGCCGGGGAGGCAGCGAGTGCCGTTGCTTTTACTTCGTTGCCCCCTGCTGCCGTCCTCCCTCACCACGTGGGAGGGGGAGGCTGGCGGTTGCGGGTTTTTTTTTCAAAGACTGCCACCCCGTGACTTTGCAACGAGAGCTCCCGGCTGCTGGTGGCGTATGCCTTTTGCATGCGTGCGTTTTAGTGGTGGTGTATGCATGCGCGGTGAATCCCCTCTGAGGTGTGTGTTTTGTATGGGATGTTGTCTCTTCTTTTTTCTTTTTTTTCCCCCTTCCCCTTCTGTAAGAATAGGGGGAGTGGGCGGAGGAGGCCGCAGCCACGTGACTGTTCTTTTACATTTTTACGTATATGTGCAATGATTTGACCCGAAAAAGTTTTTTTTTATATGCGCATGTGGATAGTAGAATACATGTGTGTGTATATGTATGCACGACTGCCTTTTCTTTTATACTGTGCGGCGTGACTCTTCTTTATTCTCTGCTCCTTCTTTCTTTTTTTTTTTTTTTTTTCTTGTGTATGTAACGACGATATATATATATATATATTTCTTTTTTTTCTTTAGGCTTTTTTTTTTTCTTCCCTTCTTTTCTGTTATTTATTTATTTATTTTTTCTTTTTTCTTTTTGTGTGTGTGTGTGCGTGTAGCACCAACGTGTTGCTGCTGCTGTTTTGTACACGCCGTCAGACGCACGCACACACGCAGGGAGAAGTAAGGAGACGGCGGCAGGGACGACAAGAGAGAAGGAGGAGGCATAAAAAAGTGGGCCTGCCCGGAGTGCAGGGTGGGGCTGGTGGGTGGTGGCGGTGGTGGGGTAGGGCGCATCAAAGGAGTGCACCGACAAAAGAGAGAGAGGGAGACAGGGGGAGGGGGAGGGGGGGGCGGGGGGAAAGAAAAAAGAAAGGAACATAAAAACAACAAGCACGAAGAGAGGGAGGAAATAAAAAGGCTTTCAGGGGACTGAAAGACACAAGAAGAGAAATATATATATATATATATATCCATACCCCACCCCAGGCCAAGTGTATAGTATTGCACGTGTACATATTAATATTAATATATATATATATATAGAACCCAAAAGGAAAAGAAATAAAGACACACGCATATACACACAAAGAAAAAAGTATAAAACATCAACATCAAAATCATCATCAACAACAACAAAAAGGAAGTAATAACGGCAAAAGTAGTCAATTGCATTGTTTTTGAGCGATTTACATCTTAGTGTCTGTCTTTTTGCGAGTGAGGTTGGGTCTATTTTTATGGGTTGTACGAATACAAAGGAGTCCTCGGAAAGAGGAGGTGGCAATGCTTCAGAGCTCGGTAAAGGAGGCCGCGTTGGTCTTACCGGTGTACTGGCGGCGAATGGCCTCCATGGTGGCGGGAGCGCAAATGATCAGGTGCACTGGCCTACATGTCATTTCTGTGGTAAGCGTATCCCTGAGAAAGAGTACAATGCGCATACTGTCATGTGCGATGAGCGTGAGGTGACTTGCTGGAACTCGTGGTGCCGGCAGATTGTGAAGCAGGGGATGCTGCATAATCACCTTGAGGAGTGTGCCAAGAAGCAGCGGGCACTGTGCTACAAGTGTGGTGCCGATCTGCTTGCCACCGAGCTTCAGGCACACCGGGACGGATGCCAACCTCAAAAGTGCACATCTTGTGGAGAACTGTGCATCACACGCATCATGAAGTGGTGCCCGGACAATTTTATCACACGTGTCCCTATTATGCATGGTCCCTTTGCAACGGAGGTGTTGTTGGCACGGTATGTCAAGGGGGGAGCCCAAAACAAAAGTGGGGGGGCTGCCCCAGTCGCACTTGTTAGCTACAATGTGGCCCGCATGCAACTTCTATGGCGTTGGACGAAGGCAAAGTCGTATCTTGAAGAGGCCATTTTCCGTCTGACCTCCAAGGAGATGAACCTCAAGAAGGAGGGTTTTGCCATATTTAAGGCACTCGATAAGGTGAGCGATTCTCACGTGTTAGAACCACGGCGTTCACGTTCCATTCTTCAAACGCCAGTTGTGGCACCTGCCATCTCTTCCCACTACTTCCCAACCCGCATGGCGGAGCCTATTACAATTGAAGTCGTTCAACGACTTATCAACGACCTCACGGATCATGTATTGCTTCCATACCCCGCTGCCTGGCGTGTCTTCACGGATGCCATGAGTCACCTGAACACGATGCCGAATGTTGTGCGCCTTAGTCCCCCTGTTGGGGCACGTGTATCAAATGGAAGGATCAATCAAGGCTCAAAGGTTGTTGTTGTTGGAGATCTTCATGGGCAGCTGGCGGACCTCCTGCATATACTTAAGGAGTGTGGGATGCCGAATGAGGGTACATATTACATTTTTAATGGAGACTTTGTGGACCGTGGTGCCAATGGTGTAGAGGTGTTGTTGATTCTCTTTTCGCTGATGCTGGCATGTCCAAAATACGTCACACTGAACCGTGGTAATCACGAGTGTGACTATATGAATGATGAATATGGGTTTGATGTAGAAGTAAGCACTAAATATGATCGGAACGTTTTTCGTCTTGTGCAACGTTGTTTCTGCGCCCTCCCACTGGCCACCATCATTGGCAAAAAAGTGTTTGTCGTGCATGGAGGGCTGCCACGCCGGAAGGGGGTAAATATTGAAGACATCTCTCGGATTCAGCGTTTTCGGCAGATTCCGATGCCAGATTACTCACAACCAGAGGAGGATGAAATATTTCAGGATTTGTTATGGTCCGATCCGGTGGAGGATTTGCAAGGGTGGCGTGAAAGTCCACGGGGGGCGGGCGTTGTATTTGGCGCAGATGTCACGCAGGAGTTTTTGCAAAACAATGGACTTGAACTTGTTATACGCTCACATGAGGAGTGCCTACGGGGGTATGAAGAACACCATGATGGAAAACTGTTGACTGTTTTTTCTGCAAGTAACTACGATGGGCCCGAGACAAATTTTGGAAGTTTTGCTGTATTTGTTGGGGATAATCCAGAACCCTCCTTTCATACATATCAGGTGGCGGAAGATGATGTGGAGGTGCAGACGCTTGTGGACCTTGGCGAGACATTTACGCCGACATTAGGGAGGGTCTCATCCTTCGCTACACTCTCGCAGTCCAAACTTCTCCTGCGACGGCGGGCGAGGGATGACGTACTTCGTGTCCTGCGTGAGCGCATTTACCAACGACGACATCGACTTCTGGCCTACTTTGCAAAACTTGACCGCACACGCAAGGGATCTGTGTGGAAGATTGAGTGGGTGGAGGCGATGCGAAATGTACTAAATTTAGACCTTCCGTGGTTCTTCCTGCGAGGGTACCTCGTTGCTGACGACGAGAATACGCGCGTCTGGTACTCACACTTCCTGGTGAAATTCCACAACTTTTTTCAACCACTTTGGCTTAATGATTGGATCCAAAGTGCATGTTATCATTTGACGCAGCAGCAACGGGCAAATCATCGTTCCCAATATGTTGCTAAGGCGTTTAACAAGGAACAAGTCAGCTATAATGAGTTTTGCTCTGTCATTCGTGCTATTGACTATACAATGAGTGAGGCACAACTCTTTCAACTATTTGTTTACTTAGATGAGGGCGGCACAGGCCACATTGATGGACCAAAGTTTGTGAACATGCTCTCTGAGATGGCGGCGTACCCGTTGTCCGACACCCTGCGGTGGGACCTCGGGGCCATGGAGCAGCTGCAGAGCGTTGTCATTCAAGGCCGCAGTCAGCTACCGTATCTTTTCAAGGTGACTTCCAAGGACCGAGCACTGCCGAAGGAGAAGTTTATGTTGGGTCTTGCACAGCTCGGCCGCGGGATGCGGAAGCAGTTGACGCAGCAACAAAAGGAGAAGATCTACGAGTTTTTGGCAGAGCGGGCACCGCCGTCTGGTGTCATGTTTGAACACTTTTTGTTCATGACGGCAGTGTTTGATGTGCAGGCAATGCCACGTTCTCCCGCCGTTGTTCTCGCAGACGTCAATTTATTTGGAAACTACCTCAAGAACTCAAGCTTCTCCTCGATGTGCAAATGATACAGACGTATACGTATATATATATATATATATGTATGTATGCAGAGAGAGGAGGCGGAGGCGGAGGCGGAGGCGGAGGCACCGAGATGCAAAATACTTGGGAGCCGCACATAAAATATGTGTGTGTGTGTGTGTGGGAGAGAAGAGGAAGCACCCCCCCCCAAAAAAAAAACAACAAACAAACAAACAAACAAACGACAACAAAAACAAAAAAAAAAAAACAAAAAAGAAGGGGAGGAGGATTTATGAATGGCTATCGTGTAGTCATAGTCGTAGTAACACTAATAAGGCTGGAGGAGTCGGAAGAAAAACAAGCGGCGGTCGAACCGATTTATTGAAAAGAAAAAAAAGAAAACAAAACAAAACAAAAAAAATAAAAGAAACGGGGTAATAAAAAAAAAGTGCAAAAGAAATGAAACAATTGCAAAGGAATCAAAAAAAAAAAAAAAAAACCAACAACAAAAAACAAGCCATTAATAAAAGCAAAAAAGGAAAAAAAAAAAAAGAAAGCGAGGCGATGAAAAGGAAGAAGAAGAAGAAGAAGAAGAAGAAGGGTGCAGCAAAAATAAAAAAAAAAGGGTGAGTGAGTGGAGGGGGGGGGGGGAAACAACAACAACAAAAAAGTAGAAATATTTAACCATTACGTGAAAATAAGAGAAAAGAGAGCGTAAGTGAGAATTTACAACAAATCTCCTTTTTTTTCCTTCTTCTTCTTCTTCTTCTTCTTCTTCTTGTTTGCCTCTTGTATGGTTTCCTGACTGTAATTGTACATATATATATATATATATATATGAAAGGGGGATTTGTATGTATGCATGTACATATACGCAAAGAAGCGTATCGTTATTTTCCTATAAGATGTCTGTATATAAATATGTGTATGTATACTTGTGTATGTGTGTGTAAAAATAAATAAATAAATAAAAATATATATATATATATTTACAGACACTTTGGCGCATACCTTTCTTTTATTTTCCATTTTTTTTTTTTCTTCTTTTTTTTTTTTACTCTCACCACCTTTCACTCTTATTTACACGTTGTGGTATACAGGTACAATAAAAGATAGAAGCTAAACTTTGTCATATTTTCCCTTTTTTTTTTTTTTTTTTTTTTGGTGGCGCTGTTCGTTTAAACAGTGTCTTTCTTTTTTTTTTTTTTCTTCTTTTTTTTTTCTTTTTTTTGTATTTTTGTATGTTCTTGTGCTTGATAGGGGGGAAATGAGGGGGCATGGATCTCCGTTTGCCTCCCTCTCTCTCTGTGTGCGTGTGTGTGTGCCTGTTGTCTGTCGTTTCTATTATTCCGTTTGCGCTGTTTGTTTGGCCTTTTTTTTTTTTTTTGTGTGTGTGTGTTTGTTTTTGTTGCTACGTTTCTTCTAGCGGAGATGGGCGGAGGGGCTTAACGGCACTTTCTTCACTTTTTCTTTGCCCAGCGAATAAGCCGCCATTGAGCCACCACGTGGGCGGCGTTCTCACCATTAGCGGGCGGCGAACTCGTTGCAAGGCGGTTCCAAGATAAAGGAATGAATTGCACCTCGTTGCGACACTCTGTGGCTGCCATCACCGTGCCGAGGAACCCTGAGTCCATTCGAGCCTCTCTGAAGAGGAAGAAGCACACCGCTGTTTGGAGTAAGTGGGCGGCACTTGAAGGAAGGCAGTTGGCGCTGCACTGGCCCATATGAGTGTGCCCGGGCTCAGTTGGAGGGTAAAAAATATTGGCGTGCAGCTCAGATGCCCACGTGCAGTTCCGTGCGGAGCGCATCCGATTGGCGCCGATGCAAAATTTGCTCGTAGCCAACAATTGGACGACGACTTGGCGACCATCAGCACTCCGCAAGGCCCTTCCACGAGTCTTCACCAATTCTGCCACGGGAATTTGGAATGTGTCCCATACTCCAGGGACAATCGAAAGATCATGCAGATTCATGACGTGCCAGGGGGATTAGAGCTGTCACTCGGCACACGGGGAACCAAGTGGGGGAATCCGTGAACTTCTTTCCGCGCGAATCGCAGTCGCACCATTTGGCGGCGTATTGAAATGCATGATGGATGCAACGCCTGGCCACGGCTCCTGGATGCCTCTTGGGTCACCTTTGCGACGCCGGCTGCGCCAGGTCCCGGCATGCAGACAGCCGTGAGGGGAACGGTGCGCCCTGGGCGTGCGCCATTCGCGGGGAGGAGATGTTCATGGAATCTCGCCGGTTGTCAGGGCGACTGCGTACACTCAGTCAAATGGATCCTCCGGACAGCGAATAACGATGCTGGAGTGCGGGTCGAGGACATTCAGGGTGCTATCGAAATGCCCATAAATGGGACCGCCCATTCCCCCAGGCATTTCAGAGAGCAAAGAAAGAGCATGCCGCACCCCCGCCCAATGAAGCACGATGCCGCAAACGTGGTCGGGCTGGACAATGCAACACGACGTGCCGAGTGAAGCTGCAAAAGGAGGCCTATAAACACACACAAAAGGACTTTCGCCTCCGGAAGCAATGACTTCTGGGACGGCACAGGTGGGGCATCATCATCATCAGTGTCCGGGTGTGACCGCGCGGCATGGGTTCTGACCAAAAAGACGAAAACACCTCTTTTTTTTTTTGCGGGTTTTTTCATGTAGGAGAGGTCCAATGAAGGACAGCGGCAACGTCCTACATTTCATGATGGGGGAAAAGGCAGTCCCCACCTCCAAATGGATGTCGTTTTGAGGATTGGTGACGATGGTGGGAACCAATTTCTTTGTCTCTTTCTCTTTATTTTTCCGTTTTTATTTTATTTTTATCTGTGCGCTGATTGTAAGGATTCGAATCCGGCTTTTGTTTCTACGCATAGTTATATATATATATATATTTATATATAAATAAAAATATACGCCAGACATTCAGAGGCATCTAAGCAAATAAGGAAATGTTATCTCGTCGCTCTCTTACGGCGGCTTTTGCTGCCATGACTAAACAGCCACTTATGCAGCAGCGACGTCACGATCACGACCGCTGGTACGGCCATGCGTTGGAACTCGACAGCCACAACTACAAGTTTACTGGAGAGCCTCCGAGTTGGATGCGGCAGCGGGAACGCACAGAGGAGGAAACGGCGTTTGCCAAGTCTGTCTTGCCACATGTGGACTTTGCGAGCAGTTACGAGTGCCTTTTGTTTGACGCGGACCGTTTGAATGGTCACCTGAACCGCAAGGAATTTGGCAACGAGGTGACCTTCCGACTGGAGAAGCAATCGAACACCGTTGCTCGTGCCCAGCAGATGCTGAAGGAGAAGAAGAGCAGTTCTGATGAGCGGCTGGAGAACACAATGATTGCCCGCATCTTTGACGAGGAGCACGTGCAGGCGGAGATGAAGTATGTTAAGTGCATCCGTGCCAACGAGCTGGCGGAGGACAACCGTCTCGATATCCTCCCTGGTGGTTCCCCCAACTCCCTACGTGAAAAGACGCGTTGGAATGTCAACACCGAACTGCACCCCGCCGACCGCGCGGAGATTGGCGCCCGCCTTACGGCCTGGCTGCCAGAGAAGTATCACATTGTGTACTTTGACGACTTCCAGACCGTGGCCGCGAATGACCCGTCGGCGCGGCGCGAGATGCTCAACATTGTGCAAAATGTTGAGCGGGAGTATGCTGACGAGGCCAAGTCCTCCGGCTACGAGAAGGACCTGAAGGAGGTGGTAAATGAACTTCTGGACGACGTGGACCCGTCGCGACACATCACATCCGAGGCGATCAAGGCGTGCACGGATCTCAACCAGCTGGAGGAGTGGTCACGTGTGGTGCACGAGTACAATGGCGATGATCGCATTCTTGACATCTACGCCCGCGCAGCCGAACTCACGAAGAACGCAGACCATCAGGCTCTTGTGAAGAACATGAAGGAATGGCGGAAACTGGCAAACAAAATTTAGGAGGCTGAGAAGGGGCCCTGGCGGTGATGGAGACGCCACCGAGTCCTGATAAGTAATCAAAGCCATGTCATCGGTGATAATTGTGGTGGTGGTAGTAGTAGTGTTGGTGGCTGCGGCGGGTGTAGCATGAAAGGAAAATGACGCCACAGGGCAAGTAGGAAAGAATGAGTTTTGGCGATGAATTTATATTCTGTATATACATATATACATGCATACATGTGCATTTACGTTTGTTTGTGTCTGTGGATATATACATCATGTGACGATAGCTGCTGCTCTTTGCCGTCTCTTTCCAATGGGTTGCGTGACACATCTACCGCTGCTGCAATCAATACCACCACCACCACCACCATCACCGCCGCTGTCGCCGTCTGGGATTCCCTTGCCACCGGTGGAAAAATAGTCAAAAACAAGCTAAACAAGGAGTAGATAAAGAAGGAGAAAAATGATGGGGTAAGGATAGAATATGTTTTGTGAAGAAGTGTAGTAGTGGACATCGTAATCGGCATCAATGAAACGGGCGGGATATTGAGATTTTTGTGTGTGTGGGGTGTGGGGGAAAAGCAGATTTCTGAAAGGCAAACAAACAAAAAACAAACACAAACCAAAATTAAATTGCAGAAGGCATTTAGCATCATTGTGATATTTCAGGAAAACCAAGCGACATACGCAGGAAGAAACGAGGGAGAGAAAAAACGCAAAAAAAAAAAGACTTGTCCATTGCGAAAAATGAAGGAAAGAAAAAACATCAGAAAGCTGCATTTGGCGCCTCTTAAAAGTGGAAAAGAGGATTCTGTGGAAGAGTGGTGCCTTTTTTTTTTTTTTTTTTGTTTGATGCATTTTTGACCGCGTTGTTGGTGGTGAACCTAATGGTGAATGGAGGCATCACGCATGAATGCGTAGGGGGGCATTTTGCGTTGGTGTTGTTGGGATTTTTTTTTTTTTTTTGTATGAAGAGTGACGCCACATTTTTCCCTTGCCATTTCTCTATTTACCACTTGGTCTGTTTGGTGTGAACTTTTTCCTTCCTCTTCTTTATTTCTTTTTTTTTCTAGTAAGCTGCGTGAAGGGATGTGCGACCCAATGGAGCCAAGTGGGTGTTGGTGTGGCTTGTTTAGCCGCCCTGCTTCCTTTTATTATTGACTTTTATTTCCCATCGATACCACGCCGGGGAGGCAGCGAGTGCCGTTCCTTTTACTTCGTTGCCCCCTGCTGCCGTCCTCCCTCACCACGTGGGAGGGGGAGGCTGGCGGTTGCGGGTTTTTTTTTCAAAGACTGCCACCCCGTGACTTTGCAACGAGAGATCCCGGCTGCTGGTGGCGTATGCCTTTTGCATGCGTGCGTTTTAGTGGTGGTGTATGCATGCGCGGTGAATCCCCTCTGAGGTGTGTGTTTTGTATGGGATGTTGTCTCTTCTTTTTTCTTTTTTTTCCCCTTCCCCTTCTGTAAGAATAGGGGGAGTGGGCGGAGGAGGCCGCAGCCACGTGACTGTTATTGTTGTGGTTGCTGCTTTCTTGGTGTTATTTTGGCTGCTTTTTTGTTGTCATCTCTGTGCCTTCTTCCTTTTGTCCTTTTTTTTTTTTGTTTCCTTTTTTTCCCTTGACGCTTTTCCTTTGCCGCCTCTGCCTATTTCTCTTTGTTTTTTGGTGGAACTGTGTGCGTGTGCGTGTATTTCTGAGACTTTTAGGGCTCTAAGCATGTCAGACGTGTTTTATCTTAACATTCCACGAGGTCGTGTGCCGCGCGGAGCCTCTGGTGCTGCTTCGGCGGCCCCTACTGTGTCGCTGCACGACCCTCTGTCGCGAGCGGTTTCTCCTGCATCCTCCAACGCCCGTTGGGGGGTTGTGCCGATGGTTGTAGGGGTGTTGTCTGTCGGGTGTGCCTTGTCTCTTGCAGTGCGGTTATGGCAATACCGACAACAGTGTCTGTCCTCGATTATTTCGGGTGGTGGGCGCGTGCTGCGAGGGGAAGGGGGAAAACCGCAGTTGCGGCGAAGGCCGCGTCGTTGTTCTAGTCTTTTGAACAATGCAAGAAGGGATGACACCCCGCTGCCACAGAAGGAGCCTGTGAGGCTAACCACGGATGAAAGAATCCCATCACCCACTGCACACTTGCCAGAGGCAAATGATGGTTGCTGTGATGATGACAATAGAAGGAATGGTCTGGAGTGGCATTCTCTTGATCATCAAGGGGAGGCGGGGGATGAGGACTTCGACACACGGACGTCGTCTTTGAATTCCCCACTGGTGTTTGTCACGACGACCGGCGAGCGATACAAGCGGGTTTCACAGCTTGGGCGTGGTGGATGTGGTCTTGTCTACAAATGTTTTAATCTGAACACGGGGCAGGTGGTTGCGGTGAAGGAGGTGCGGCTGGAAGAGAGTACCGACGGCGATAGGGCGGAAGAAATGCGCTCTGAATTTGAGTTGCTCTCCCGCGTCAGTCACCCAAATATTATTCGTGTCATTGGCTGTCATGTTGGAAAGAAACACGCCCGACTGTTCTTGGAGTGGGCTGCGGGGGGCTCACTGTGTGATGTCATGAAAGCCATTGACCGATCATTTGCGTCGGGTCTGCATGAGGACCTTGTCCAGTCGTACGTGCGTCAGATTTTGGAGGCTCTTCAGTGCCTGCATGAACATGGCATTATTCACCGCGATCTCAAACCACAGAATTTGCTTATTGATCACGCAGGCAGGCTGCGCGTGACGGATTTTGGTCTCAGCCGCCTGGTTGCTGAGGGGGCGTCTGCTGTAGAGACGGTTGTCGCAGGCACGCCACGATATTTGGCCCCGGAAGCCATCAGTGCTGGACGCTTTTCCTGCGGTAGCGACCTGTGGGCAGTGGGCGCGACCATGTCGGAGCTTTTTACCGGGCGGCCACCGTGGTCACACTTAGGGGTCCAACAGCTGCCGTCGCTGCTGTACCACATCGCCAACAACCCGGAGGATCATCCAGTTATTCCCACACACATCAGTAAGGAGGCAAGGGAATTCATGGCGCAGTGCTTTCGACCAGAGCCAGGGGACCGCGGCACGGCGGCTATCCTCCTGCAGCATCCTTTTCTGACACGGGAGAGAAGAGAATGAAAGGCGGACGAGCAAAGAACAAAAGCAAAAATAAATTGAGGAAAAAAAGCAAAAAGAGCCCAACTGGAGACCGCTCCCTTGGCAATGCCAGCCATCTCCTCTTGGCACCAGGGTCAATTGCCCCGTATTGTCGGGAGAAGACAACACCCAGCCATGTTTCCCTCACGGGGTCGTGGTTGTTGGCGCGGGGGCTGACGGCATCGACCGGCGCCCGGAGCAGCCGCGCCGTGACGGGGCACAGTCGTAAAACTATGAGGTGTCTGGAGGCACGTCTTGCTGCAATGCAAGCCGTCGAATTTATTTAAGGAAACACGAGAGAAAAGACAAAAAAAAAACCAAAAAACTTTACGACACGGTATTTATTATTACTTTTTGCTTTTTTTTTTATTTACGAGTTTCCCTTTTCGGATCTTTACGCCGCAGGATCTCCCTAAAGGGGGAATGGGGGAAAGTTTTTTTCGTTTTTTTTTTTTTGTATGTGCGTATGGCCAAAAACTCTATTTGACTTGTCCTGAGCTGGCGATGAGACGTATACACATAGATCTATAAATATCCCTCTGTGGGTGCATCTGTATGTGAATATCTACGTGTTGTTTCCCCTATCCTTTTTTTTTTTGTTGTTGTTGTTTTGGTGGTGCGGCTTGGAGGATTGTTTTTTTTTTTTTTTCCGCTTTGCGTGCGAGGGCGGCTGTGGTACGCACGGCGTGAGTGGTATCGCCGTGAGAGGAGGAATTTACTGAAGGGTCGAGCCAAGGGCAAAACAAACGCTCACATGTCTTCTTCCAATGCGGATCTGCACGCGACCGTCACGAAGCGGTTTACTTTTTGGTTTGACCGCGAGTTTCGTTATAATCTCCCGGATGAGGGGCTTGTGGTGCAGACGGCGCGCGGCGAGATCCTCCTGTCCAAATTGAGCCCAGTGGAGGACACGAAGGGCAACAACGGTGAGGAGGGAGTGCTTTACGTGACAAATCTGCGATGCATGTGGCAAAGCAAAGCGAATCCGCACAAGAATCTCAGCGTCGGCTACTATGGCATCCAGGGCATCGAGGTGAGGGAGGCAAATTCGCGGCTACGTGGCACCACGGAGGTACTTTACATCACCTCGAGATTTGGTTCGAGTCGTTATGAGTTTGTCTTCACGCAGTTGATGCGGACGAATTGCCAACTTTTTATTGTCCCAACCGTCTGGCGGGCATACGAGTCGAGCCGTGCGTACCGTGAGTTGCGTATGCGCAGTTCGTTGGTGCGCGATGGGGACGTCATTCTTCTTCCTGGCGAGCAACTCTTCACGCGATTGGAGGGCGTGACGAATGTGAGTGAAGATAAGGGAATCATCGGGGTTTTCTTCACGACGAATGTGCGCATTGTCTGGTTTGCCCAACACGCACCTCATATTAATATTTCGGTTCCGATATTGCAGCTGACGGCGCTTCGTATGCGGCCGACCAAATATGGCGCGGCGATTTTGTTAGAGACATCGTCGTACGCTGGGAGCTGTCTGATTGGCTTTCGTGTGGATCCTTTGGACCGACTGCGGGGGTTGTTTCGTGAATGCGTGTCACTGTGGAAGGCATGGTCCGCGCGCCCCGTTCTTGGCATTGCCGTCACGCTGGAGGATGCCCCGCCTAGAGAGGAGGGGGACGCCAACATGAAACATATCAGCGATGATGGGGGTGATGGGCCATTCTCGCTGCTTTCGCCACAGCATCGCAAACTGGACGGTGAGAATGTCGTGACGCAGGTGGAAACGGATGCCTTCGCCGCTTATTACGCGGATGTGGGACAAAAGGGGACGGATCGCCGTCCCGAGTATGATGCCTCTATTGGCCTTGCCGTTGAGAGGCTCCGCACGGGCGTGACACTACGGGAATTATGGACGGTGGTGACATGAGTCATGAAGAACACTTTAGACTACATGTGTATTTATGTAAGGATTGGCAGAGACTGCAGTACGCTGTCGGTGTCCTTCTTTTTTTTTTTTTTTGTGCAGCTTTTCTTCACTTTACGAGCTTCCCTCTCCTGTCTGCGCATTCACAACAACAACGACAACAAGGTTGCACCTTTTTTTTTTCGTTTTCCCTTCATTTATTTATTTTTCCTTTTGGTGTTGATGATGCCAGGCGTTTTTTTTTTCCTCTCTCTCGCTCTGTCTTTATCTGTCTTTTTCTCTATGTGTGCGTGTGTGGCAGGAGGGGAGGAGGAGACGCGGGGGTGGGCGGGTGGAGTGTGTGTGCGTGTGTGTGGTTTGCCGTGGGGGGAAAAGGGGGGAAATGGAGGTTTACGTGAAGCATCGTGGCAAGTTTGTGATGCTTGCTCTGTGGAGCGGCTTTACAAGCATTGCGATGGTGTGGCTCGTTATCCGTCGATCCGGCTTTGGCACGACGTACAGCCGCTGCAGCTACCTCGTCATGTGGGGTGAATACAAACAACTGCTGGAGCCCGGCACCTTCCCGGCAAACGACTTCTTGCCGCCACATCTCCGACTGGATCGGCGGTCGTACCTCGACCTCCCCGACACGGAAATTGCGCTGCCACCCATCATTGATGTCAGTGTTGCCGAGCGTGAGCAGGTGCGAAATTTGGAGCACGCCCTGCCATCATCCCAGCGTTCTGATTTCCACATGCAGTTTGGCCCGTTGCGGTCACAGACGATTGTGATGACGGGAGGGGCAAATGAGCGATATGTAAGGCGTCGGCTTGGGATCTCACCAAAGGATCGGGAACGCTTGGAGTCCGAAAAGCACAAAGGAGAAGACAGATGACCGCAGAGGGTAGCGTGATTCCCGTGGCGGAATGGAGAAGAAGGGTTAAAGAATTGTTCACTATCGGCTGTGGTCTTGTTTTTTGTTGTTTCGTGTCGTATATATATATATATATCTTTAAATTTCTTTTTTTTTTTTTTTGGTTTTTGCGCTTGTTTCTTTGTAGGCTTGTCTCTTATAATATGAGAGACACCGTGACGAAAACATGCTTTCACTCCCTCTCCATGCATCCTCCTTTTTTTTCTTCTTTTCTTCTTCTTTTTTAAACATACTTTATTATTATTATTATTATTCTTTTTTTTCTGCGTGCCTCTATGTCTGTGCCTATATGTGTATGTGTGTGTTTGACAAATGTAGTGGTGGTACCTGTATAGCCTGTCATTTCCACTGCTGGTGCTGCCTGAAACACCCGAAAAAAGACGTACATCAGACTTGCATTACACAAATACAAACATACATACGCTCATTATATTTTGTAGACATAAATGTTTGCCTCTGTTGGTGTCTCGGAGGAACAGGTGTTTGGTGACCTGTACCTCGCCTGGCTCAAAGACACGGGGGAGAAGAACAGCAATGACTCACGCAAGCTCTTTCGTGAGGTGGTGGAGCGCGGCTTTGGGGAGCGTCAAATTATTTTGCGTAAAGAGCGCCTGGGCGCAAACGTTGCGGCGAGTCTCGCGGCGCTGCTGCATC